CGTTTACTACTCGCGCTTATCCACACAGCCCAGTTGTGTTGTAATAGTCTGGAAATGCATTTGGTTTAGAGTTAGGGACTAGGCGCTGAGTCGACCGCACTCTTCAATGAACCAGGTGCTTGTTTGAGTAAAATAGACTGGAAATAAGATTTAGTGTAGTGGCCGGTGTCCGGAATGCCACACACAGACTCGGATCTCAAATGATTGAAATCGTCATGAAGGCCTGTCGAGGAGGACGAGGAGGGGGCATTACTGCAGGAGCTTTGTCCGAGATGTGGATTGGGCCCTTCCACCAGCTATCCACTTTCCATGTCACGACTTCCAGGTGCAGCTTATCTATTATTAGCGAGCAATACGCTAAATTGTCATCAAAGAAGGTGCCGTAGGATTGCGCCCCCATCTATTCTATGCATCAGTACCCGACTAGGTGAGATTTGGTGCTATGAAGTGTCCGCCTTACGCGCAGTTCGCGTCCAAATATTACAAGTAATTTTGTGCTTTCAGTCCTACCTAACTCATTGCAGACACAGATATTCACTTCCTATTATCGGCTGAAGTAGTGTTCACCAGAATGTTATTTATTAGAAGTCTGGCATTTAAGACAGCAAGTCCGCGGACGCGGCCCTTATTGTACCGAAATCTTTGTCAATTACATGTTGGTTTTCCGTATTCCTCCGGCCATGTACGTCCCTGTTTGGCTATGATTGGTGTTCCCCATGCCCACTTCACTCGCTATACCCTCTTAGTTTATTGTCCGGGTGCCTTTGTTAGTACGCAACGTCATTGTGAGCAGTTTTATTCGTTGATAAAACTAGACCTTGCTAAAGTCAATGTTACAATTTAAATGTCACTTTGTGTGCGTTGGGAAATGTGTTTATGCACTCACAAGCGGTTGTGCGCTCGCTGTAATCAGTGATTTACCATTTTACGTTTCAGGTTTCCTAACAACCATCTACCAGCTATTCTTTGACCCATTTTAATTAGTATAACATTGGATCTTGTTTACTTTTTTCCTTCTTCAGATCCCGGTAGCATCGCTGCCACAACTGGTGTTTCAAATGTGGCTAATGCCCTGGACTACAAGCATAGAATACCAGGAGAAGGTATTGTCTATGCAGATCGTTTCCAGTCGCCCGGGCCTCTCGATGCGAATTCCATTAAAACAGGCAGTATCGAATCTGTTGGTGTCATTCAGACGGGTCCTACCTCTCCCTTTCACTTGACTCCGGTTTCGCCAACTAATGCTGTAGGTGGAGTGCCAGACACAATTTCCAGAAGCGTCTTGTCGCCTCCTAGCGTTAC